AGCCTTGTAATTGAAAAGTTTACTTGTACTTTCATTGTTTAGAACTTGGAATAAATGGTGGTTGGGTTTCCAGCTGGTCCACGGAAGCCTCTTCAACCTACAGTGTATTATTAGTGCAATCATTGTTCCTCATTGTTTTCAAGAAAAAACGTGTCCTGACTTTCCAGCTGGACGTGGAGATGTGGAGAACAGATCTCCCCCCTGGAGCTCCAGCCTCAGGGAAGGACACTTGCCCCCCTTAGTGACCTGGCATGGTGTCCTCCCTTCTCTTTGCTTCGCTAGGAGACGGTGACAAGAAGAGCATCCCTGGGCTTCACCCATGAATGAAATCCTACTGCTGTGGTTGTTCCTACGAAACAGCTGTTAGCCTGCATTTTTAGTTCAGAAGCTTCCTGTCCTTAACCATGGCATTGCTTATAGGTTTGTATCATGCTTTTAATGTTTTATGACTGTCTTCCCAGTTTATATCCCTTGTGCATGGGGACCACATCGAGGTTTCTCTTACGCTGTAAAGCATCCAGCCCACAGCTCAACACTTAAGAGGGGCTCAATAAACATTTATTGATTCATAATTAGAGCTACGTGGGAAAGCGGTTCAGACAAGAGCTGAACCAGTCAGGCACTGTTAGGCAGCAAAACGGATGACCTAGTAATGTCAGCGCTACCTGGTTAGGTAGCCCTGTCATCAATCATATAGCTCAGGCGCAGTTAAAAGGATGCCGTAATCCTGGCTTGTCTTTTTTCCTCCCGGACCCAAGAAGAAATGTCACTCTGACTGCTCTCCTGAAATGGATTTTAAAGGGGCTTTGATATTCTAAGCATTCTACCTTGGATCTTTAAGCCCAGCTAATTCTCTTCTCTGTTCACACTTAGTTTTATCCTCTCCACAGCCCCCACCTGCTTTATGTTCTTCCTGGGGGTACGCTTGACAATTTGTCTCCTTGCTTCTTTAGGTACAATCCTGGTCCTAGCCATCTCTCTGTACTGATCTCTGTTTAGTAGCATGTAGTAGAGTGTTTTGCTCAAAGTAGGAACACACAACTACTTACCCTATGGAACATACGGCACTTAATTGTAATGAGTTGTTCCAGCCCATGAGGTAGATGTTATTATTATAATACCTATTTTACAGATAAGCGAACTGAGGCAGAGATTCAGTAACTTGTCAAAGGTCTCCACTGCTAGCAAGTGTTAGAACTGGGACTTGAACCCAGGCAGTCTGGCTTTGGAGTTCACGTTCATAAACACTGCACATTGCTGCCCCTCAATAAATGGTTGATCACAGATGGATTGAATCAAAGGTAATAACAGCAAGTTCTCAGAATAATGAAGTTGCTTTACCAAGAGGTGAAGGGCACAATTCGGGTAACAATTGTCAAGATCCATCTTTTAAGAATGTCACAATTTATATTATTTGAGTGTGGGGTACTCTTTCACTTCTCTACTTCATTAAGTAGAAAAAGTCCAAATTTCCTCTAGAGCGGTGCTTCTCAAACAGGAGCATTTGCGTCTGCCCCCCACCACAGGGGGTGCATTTGACAATGTCTGGAGACATTTTGATTGTCATGACTAGGGCAGGGTTGGGGGCAGGTTGCTACCGGCATCTTAGTGGAGAAGAAGCTAGAGACACCACTAAACATACTTCAAAGCACAGGAGAGCCCCTCCGCCTGGCAAACAATAAATTATCCGGCCCAAAATATCAACAGGTGCAGAAGTTAAGAAACCTTGTTCTAGAAAGATCCCAAGTCTAACCACTTAGGAGGCCTCTGATGTGGCTCACTTTTGACTATACACTCAGAAAAGGAAAAAAAAAATCATTAATTTTAGGATAAAGCATTGTTTGAAAATCTTCAAAGGTCCGCCAGTCACTGTGAACATTTTTCAATGACATAAATCTGAATTTAGACTTTCATTCAGTCGATTGTTCAATCAAGGATGCATCCCACCCCTCAAAGCTACCAACAGAATTACATGTAATTCTCCTCCAGTAAGAAAGTGACTTGATGAACAAGAGTAGCACGCAGGCTTCCTCCTGTATACAGAAGCTTCTTTCCTCTTCTGAGGGGCTTCTCTAAATTGGAGAATTCTTAGAAATTATGATGTGATCTCATATGGCTTTTCTTTTGCCAGATAGAGGTGTCGAGGCAAGGCAAGAATTTGCTCTCCCCAGTGGACTCTTGACTCATTTGTGGAATTCAGCTATTGTAGATGTGGAATGATGTAAAAATATGATCTCAGTTCAAGTTTACCATGTCTTGAACAACATTACATTAGGAGGAATCTGTTATACATCTGGAAAGGGAGCTATTAGTCACTTTGCAATGAGCATTCTTGAATTTCAATAAAGATATTTTACGTTATAGGATCCAAACTATAAATAGAAAGTAGCAAAACATAAATGTCCTAGATTTTTACAATTTTTAAGGGCTGTTTTATGTGCCATGAATAGAAATAACGATGCTATTTAATGAAGGAATTTTATAACCTAGGGAAGACAGAGCCTTACACACTGAGTCATCTGTCACACACTGTCCACCCCCCCACCCCCAGCACTCCCTCACAGCCACGTGGGGCATTCTCTTCTTGGGGTCCCAGCTGAAGGAAAACCATCTGGATAAAGCCACCTTCTCACTTGAGATCATTTTCTTTCTAGAAGCTCAGATGTGAGAATTGCTATATTGAAAAAGTCAAAGTGGCTATAATCTGCTCCTTTAACCCCCAAATCGATGGCCATCTTGGGAGGAGAGCCCCACCGTCCTCTATGTTCTACTATACACATGATTTTTTCCCAGATCGTCTATATATAATTTGTCATCACTAGATGCTTTGTGGAAACGTCTTTGTAAGACAAGAGAAGTCAAATGTGTTAGATCAAGGCACATGACTAAATACAAGGACCAAGATGAAATTACTTCATCTTTAACTCTTCATTTTCAAGTCAACAGAGTTGTTATAAAATCATGCTCCCTGCCCCGCGCCACCCCCCCCCAAAAGCTACCGTTGGAGGTTTCCTAAGTACAGATGGGAAAGAAAGAATTTTCCTCTCTGATTTCAAACATCCTGCAGTTATTCGGGCTATTTCTTCTGAACAGCACCTGAATCCAGCAGGGCCCAAAAGAAAGCTGTGCTACAGATTTCTTAGTCCCCCTCCTGCGTTTTTGTAGCTTCACATTTTAGATGTAAAATTTCACTTGAGAGTTTCATAGAAAAAGCATTCTCAAGATTTATTTGCTGTTTAATAGCACGAAAGGGCGACGGAAATTGGTTTGGCGCTTTATAGGGCTCCGCACTCAAAATGTAGACTTTTAGGGGTTGAACTCTTAAAACACACCGATTAACTGTATCTAATAACAGCAGAGGTGCAAACAATGGGCTCTGATTTTGTGCTTCAGTAATTGTTTCTGGCGCTCTCGTTTTGAAAAATTTTTCTTTGCCATAGTACTTGCATTCATTTTTCAGAAATAAAATCTATCAAAGATGCTCTTTCTTTCCCCATTGCTGCATACTGTGCTAATATACTAGCTGGGGCAGTTATATTTTAAATGGCCTGTATATATTTAGCAGCATAATTATGCAAATGCTACCATGTTTATGACTGTAAATATCCTTCAGGAGCAGCTACTTAGCATCGAGTCCTGAAACAATTTCTTAAGAGTTCTGGTTGAAGTGCTCAGAATTCACCCCTAAATTTACTTCTCTGCTGGGTGAAGGTGTGGCTCACAGGTCTCCCTCATCAGGTAGAATATTGCACAGTGGTAAAAAGTATGGATTCTTTGATATGGACATTCTATGCCACTTACTGGCTTTGTGACCTTGAGGAAGTACTTAACCTCTCTGAGCCTCAGTTTCTGCATCTGTAAACTAGGGATGATGAGGGGCACCTGGGTGGCAAAGTCGGTTGGGTGGCCAACTCTTGATTTGGCTCGGGTGATGATCTCAGGGTCCTGGGATCCAGCCCAGTGTTGGGCTCCGCGCTTAGCTGGGAGTCTGCTTCAGGATTCTCTCTTTTACCCTCTGCCCCTCCCCCCATGTGCTTGCTCTCTCTCTCTCAAATAAATAAATCTTAAAAAAATCGGGATGATGATAGTATGTAGGTGATACTATCCTTTTGGCAAGAAATGGGGAATAGTGGTTCTAATAAAGTGCTGAGTCACTGAATATCCAGATCTTATTTCTTATATCCCTTCTGAATTCATAGATGACAACAGGTAAAATGCCTAACCTCTTTCAGACTCAGTTTCTTTGACTAGATTTTTATTATGTTGGCTTCTTTCAACCAATTTAGGCTAGATAAATTTCCTCTATCAAAATTAGCTCTCCTATTATTATATGAAATTTGGAGGGTCTTTAAAATGCACTGGGCTGGTAAGTTACACAAAAAAAGTGTGTATTAGAAAATAAATTTAAATACTCAGAGTGTCTCATTCCCTAGAAGATTTTTGCTGATCTCAGTTACCACTCCTGAGCGGGTATTAAATCTAAACCATCCTATTCTCATGCAAATTCATATTTATCACCCTAGATGACAGAGAGTGACACATTCTTTCCATTTCCCAAGGCCAGATGAGAAAGCAAAATTGCACTCTGTAAGGAAAAATACAAATTGCCATTTCAGACGTTAAAACTTGAACCACTCACTCCTTCTTTTCAGTGGCAGATCAATTATCATGAGCTCCTGATCTATTTGTCCAAACGTTTTCTGCTGATCACAATTTTCTTTCCTTTTGTTCGGATTTATACTAACGATGCCGCTGTTCGACCCACACTCTGCAGGCCCACACTGAGTGCGGTGTGTGTCTGCCCCCCCTTGGCATGGGTATTGGCCTGCGCCACTTGACCCCCGTGGATTCAAAAATTCTTTGCAGACCGGGATGGCCTTTGATCCTACTCTGTGGCTTCTCCGTGCTGCCCGGGAGGCTGTTCCCTTGGTTTGACCCTGCAGATCAACCCTCAATCACTCACAGGCACAGACCACCCTGGGCTGCCCTCACCACCTTACCTGGTCTCTCTATCTTTGGGTATGGTAGCCGTGCTGTAGGCAAACACTTGCTTCTCAACTAGAGGAGGGCCGAAGTCCACAATGCTGGCTAATCCTGGAGTGGTCCGCGGCTTTTCAATATACACCAAGGTGCCTGGCTCCTTCTTGAAGGTCTGGCGGCTCGGGGAGGCCCGATCTGGCTGCAAGGTGTGAGGGGGCCCGTGGGCGTTATGGTGGGCGTGCATGTCTACCATTCTCAGGTCGCTGACTCGGTGAGGAGAGGCGGGGGGTGTTTTGGAGCCCAGAGTGGGCAAGTGGCTTTCTGGATATTTCCTCGATTTCTGTCTGTACAGCGACTGCTCCATATGCATTTCCGCTTGCAAAGAAGGGTTGCAGTAAGCACTCGCCGAGCGGATTGCTGTGCGGTGATACGCAATGATGTGATCAGGGACATCTAGCGGGTGCCCGCCATGGGAAGAGGCTATGCTCATCCGTCCCTCGTGATAAAGGTAAGGATCAGTATAGAAGCCCTCATTCCGGTACATCGCAATGTTCTTGCCGCTCATGTCTTCATCCGGCTTTACATCTCTTCTTTCCAAAATGGCACTCGGGCTGGGTGAGATGGATCTGGAGACTGGCAGGCTGGAGAGTCTGTCCCTGGGGATGGTGGCATTGCCAGGAACAATCATGGGGCGGGCGCCCCCGTAAGGAATTCTGGATGGGGAAGGAGGCATGGAATGGGGCACAGGAGTGGACGGTGGAGAATGTGGAATGGCATGGGGTGGATGAGCTGTGGATCCCGGTCGAGAGGCACCAGGGCCATCTCCTCTTGCATAAACAATTTCTCTCTGCATCTGAAAATAAAACAAGAAGTTAGAAAATCTACTTTGATATTCGTGTTTTTAGACACGTCCCAGGGTGACAGTGTGGCTTTCCTGCGGCAGGAGGCTGAACGGCCCCTCCTTCGGCAGCATGTCCACACTCTGATCTTTGGAACCGATAACTACATCACCTTCCATGGTCGGGGGGACTCTGCAGATACTCCTTTGTAAGAAGACTGAGCCGGGAAGATTATCCTGGATTATCCAGATGGACCCAATGCTACCAAGCTAACATGTGGAAGAGGAAGGAGGTGTGAGGACAGCAGCTGGGTCAGAGAGAGACTGAAAGATGCTCTACCACTGATTGTGAAGCTGGAGGAAGGGCCCAGGAGCCCAGGGATGCAGGTAGCTTCTAAAAGCTGGAAAAGGAAGGAAATGGACTCTCCCTGACAGCTTCCAGAGTGAGTGTGGTTACTGCCGACACCTTGATATTGGCCTATAAAACCCACTCTGGACTCCTGACGCCTACAACTGTATGATAGTGGTTTTAAGCCACTAAGTTTGTGGTCGTTTGTTACAGCAACCACAAGAAATACCCAACAAAGAGCTCGACACATTGTGAGATTTGGGGGGAAAATAGTGCAGGGGTTTAAAGTTTTCAGGTCATAGCTTCTCTGAGACACTCAATAAATGTGGGTCTAATGTATGAAAAGTGCCAAAATTATATTTTCTAAAATTTCTCCTGGGCACATTTTCTAACATTAGCCCTGGAAAATAGTTAAAAACATCTTTCCCATCCTTCCAAGCAGATACAATCTAGAGACATGGCCAGGGAGGGTAAGAAGATGCATAGGGAAAACTTGGAGGTAAGTTTCATTCATTCACCAACTCTTTACTTAAGCCTAGGAGAAACCAGCTGCAAGACATTGGGAGACAATAATGATCTGGGACATAAGAATGCAATTGGAGGAAAAATTCACAGTGGGGAGGACAAGAGAGAAAAACGGGAAGGAAATCTCAGGCATGGTGGAGAGAGGGAAACCCGAGGAGCCTCTCTGGGGCTGCCATGTCATAAGGAGCCTGATGGAGTCATCCGTCATAAGCCAGCTACCTCTTGCCCAGGCAGCAGTGACTTCTGGGCTGTGTCATTAGCATCCAGTTCAAGAGAGTGAGGACTCCCACTGGGTCTTTCATTAGCTATCCTTTGGAAGAAACAATGGCTAAAGAATCAATGACTCACGAATCACAGACACAGAGAACAAATAGGTGGGTGCCAGAGGCAGGATATTGGGGTTGGGTGAAATGGGTGAAGGGGATCAAAAGATGTAACTTGCAGTTATAAAATAAAATGTCATAGGGATGTAATGTACAGCACGGTGACCTAATTAATAATACTGTATTATATATCTGAAAGTTGCTAGGGGAGTAGATTTTAAAGGTTCTCATCCCAAGAAAAAAATGTGTAACTATATATGGTGATGGATGTTAACTAGACTTAGGTGGTGATCATCCGCAATACATACACACATTAAATCATTATGTTGTACATCTGAAACTAATACAATGTTATATGTCAATTATATCTCAATAAAAAAAGAATCAAGTTAATGGGGCAAGGGGAAACTAATTTGCAATTACACTACTGTGTGTAGCAAGGGGCCGAATAAAGAAATACAGATTAATACAAAGTGTGACTATTTGATACTTTTTGTTTTGGTTAAAACCCAGGAGGGTAATAACTAACTCACTGAGATTCTCCAAATGGCTGCAGGAGAAAGGATGGGCAGCCCAGTCTTCAAGTTCTATTTGTGCTGTAACAGGAACCCACATTCCCATCCAGACTTTTGGGAGATGTGACAGACAGGGAGGGCATGAATGGTTGGGCGGGGGGAGGGGGGTGAGGTAGGGGCATGAGAAGAGAGGAGGTGGGTTCAAATGGACAAAAACTGAAACAAGCAGTCAAGAGACCCATGGTGTGAGTGATGGGCAACAAGAAAAGAAAAAGAGGGGCAACCCAGGAGAAGGCTGAAAATGAAACAGCACCCAATGTTCTGAATACAAACCAATTCCTCACTTTATAAATTCATTCTTTTAGTAAGCAATATTTACCATGCACTTGCTAAGAACCACGAATTGATCTAGGATACAGTTCTGACCCCAAGTTCCTGCCCTTGAGAAGGTACATTCCTGTGTACATCTCTTAGATGCATGTAGGGGAAGAAGCCTCAGGAATCCCACAGCTTCCTTATCTTGTCTCTGGAAGACTCCAGAAGTGTAGAATCCCTAACCTGGGAGTTTTACAAATTACGGTGGATTTCATCATGGAAAAGACCAATTAAAAAAAAAAAATGCAAGCAAGATGCAAATACGTGGCAACCAAAAGGAAACCTTTCAGGGTGTTTTACCTGAGCACCACTGAATAGGCTCCTGTCCCCTTGGGAGGCCAACTGTTTCCGGGGACCCCAGAGTATGCATGCTCCTCATGCGCAGTTACAATTTTATCTTCACTAGCCCCACATCCCCAACACATGCACTCCCACAATAGCCTAATCTGTCCCCCCCTCTAAATCAAACTTGGGCCATCCTTAGGCTGTCACCTCTGGGACTCTCTCCCTATATCCTGGCTCTTGTGGATCCAAACCAAGGCTGAGGGTCAAGATCGGGCCACAGGTGCATCTGCTCCACACGGCCCAGCCCCGAGGCTCTAGCCCACATGGTCATCTCTCTGCTCACTCACTTGACACCCTCATGACTCAGATGTTCAGGCCTTAGACCAGGAGGGCAGTCCCAAGGTCAACGTGTGATGGTACACCTGATTCTCCTCCCACAATGGCTGAGCAACCATATGACAGAAGCTTTGCAGCAGATCTGCACAGATCCTCTACACACATCCTCTATTCCTTCCTATCTTCCACAAGGCAAGGCTCAGTGAAAAGAAATGTGGTAACAAGGCAGGGCTTCACAGAGCATAAAATACAAGAGGGACTGGCTTAGGCGGCAGCACGTATCTGACCAAATTCCCCATGCCATCAGACCATGCAATGCAAGATTCAATCCAAACGAAGGTAAAGATCAATTCATACAGATTCATACATGTGTATAAAGCATAACACAGTGCTCAAGGCAAATCAAGTGCAACAAATGGTAGGTATTATTGTCATTATTGGTATCAATTAAAAAAAAAGGTTTCAGATGTCTAGAACCCACTTGGGATAAACAATAATCCAAACTGCTAGTCCTCTTTATCTGGCTTCAGATTACATCAGGATTTGGGGGATCCTGACCCCAATTAACACACAGTGAATGCCCCCCCCCTTTTCTGGCAAAAGAGTAGGAAGACATATTAAGAATCTGAGTAGTACAGAACTGTCTAGAAGGATAAAGAATATTAATGAAAGGGGAATGTAAAATTGATTTTAATTAATGAAAAGTTGAATACATTTCTTTTAAAATAACAGAGATGCCTGCATAGATATTAAAGGTTTGATGATGTGAAAAGAAATGGCTAGGAGGTACGTTATAGAACTTTTAAAATAAAACACAAAAAAATCTCATTGGACTTTCTTGATGTTGTGTATAGATGAATTCAGAAAGAAATGTAAGAATTAACAATAATTTTGATACACTGTGCAGTCATACGGGAATGCGGGCGATAGTCAAGATATTTAACATCCAGTAGCTAGTATTACATGGGTACCAACCGAGCAGAATGGGACTTCAGCCAACAAAGATGGATCCTAGCCGTACACAATCAGCATCATGTATCTGATGGTAATGCTGCTTATCAGCCTTTGCCTGGTCCACTTCAAACTAATCTTGCCATCACCCAACAGGGTCACTGAAAGAATCACCGTCCACCTGAGTCATCCACAATGGACGTGAATGCAAGCATTCAGCTATGACAGAACAGGCAGATCTCCATCAATCTGAGTGACTTGGAGGTTGGAAGCCTTTGGAAGAATTCTTACCTTGCTTTGCCAAACTATGACTGACTTTCCAGGACTGAGTTTTAAAAAGAACCCATGATAATTTCATCCTCAGCTCTACAGAGAGCCCAGAAAGAGAATGACACGATGTTTCTATTATACAGTGGGAAAATGTTTTAAACCTATGACAGTGAACCTTTAAAATCTGAAAACCTCGGTTCATACACTAAAGGATATGGGTCGACCAGAGGCGGTCACTCTTAAAACGAGGCAGAAGGGATGGGAAGATGGAAGATGAAAAGAGAATCTTTTTCAAGTCTTCACTGTGATTTCCCAAGGAGACCACTTGCTATTCTAATAAAAAGTAGACTTCATTCATATACTCTGGGAGCTATTCACTGTCTCGTTGACAATTAGGATGATGATTAAGATTCTATGACATATAGTTTTTAAAAGTTTCAGCCTTATATGCTAGTGTTCTTCCCATGGAGATATCTTCCTGGAATCAGGCACCCACACAGTTTTGTTCTGTTTTGTTGTTTAACTGCTCTTTTTTTTGGCCAATGAGTACAGAAATGGCATTAAATGCATATTGAGTTCTTCCTGCACTAGTCCTCAAAGTCAGGCCTCTTAGGAGAAAATTAATATCCAACTTTAAAGGTAAAAGAAATTAGCAAAACACACACACACCACACACAGTTCTTACCCACCTTAATATATCTGCCTCCCTTCTCCCACTAGTCTCTCTGATGTCACTAATCTCCATCATTTCTCTCAAAATATCTGGATATGTTATGTCACTCACACTTTTGTCCCAGAAGGTTTCAACACTAATGTCTTTACGTGAGCCTTGAAGAATTTCATTTTACAGCAAGAGAAATAGAACCTAAACCCAAGAATAAAGGTTCTTTTAACACCTTACCAGAATCCAACACAGATCTCTATTTGCCTGTGCCTCGGCCCAGACAAAGAAAATGCTCATTATCTACACTAGACACAATGGCAATGTACGAACTAGACTGTTCTCTCTCATTCACCTACTTTGGTGGGCATGGTCTCTCCCTCCTACCATGACCGCCCAAACCCCTGCTCCCTCTTGGTTGAGCG